AAAAAAAAAAAAAAAAAAAAAACCCACAAGATATCACTACAAATAAAGGGTTAAAAAGGAAAAGGAATGAGTTGTGACCGGACATCAGGAAACAGAGGACACTAATTTTATCAGTCCCACAGGGATGGGATAGTGATGACCAAGGCTGCATCTGTGTTCCAGGAAACCTCACGGCCTCAGAGCCACTGAGGGCTGGTCTCTTCCGAGACCATGTCCCTTCTCTGCGCTCCCATGCCTGGAGCACCTAAAATAACTCCTCACACAGCCTTGATCTGCTACGTAGAAGGGAAGGCCAGGGGAAGACTCGTAACCAATTTCCTAAAGGAAGCCTCCAGTGTCTCAGTCTCCCCATTCTGGGCCCTCTTGTCCCCGGGTGGGGACTCTGTTTGCCCCTCGTCAGATCTGGGATGCTTGTACCTGCCATTGTGCCCCCGCCCAATCCATGCAATTAACAGGCTTCCATCTTGCAAGGTTATTTGCACTGTAAACCTTCTCCTTAATGCTGCAGGTCAAAGTTTATTGGCAGGTGAAAGGTTACTGGGTCCAAGGCATGCCAAGCCCCCTCCACCCTAAGGAACTGAGGACTGTGGTCCCCAAAGATGGCAATGAACAGCACCTATAGTGCTGGGTGCAGAGAAGACAACTATCACACACCCTTCTATTCCCTGAAAGGAGGAGACTACCCCAGCCCCTCCTCCACATGCCTGATGATAGGAGGGGTGTTAGGGGACGGTCCTAGGCTATGGGACAGGGCCCGTGTCCCAGAGAGCCCTGTGCTTGCTTCTCTGCACATATGTGTGAAGTGGTCATCAGGCTGCACGTGCTGCCAGGGAAATGGCCAGCATTCCCTCTTTACAGATGCTAGATAATTCAACAAAAAGAGAGAAAGTATAAAATCTTGTTTGGCTGCATAAAAATTTATTTCCATCATTTACGCCAACTGCTTATCATTTATGCCTAACTGTCATGAAACTCAACAGCCCATTACGAAAATGACTCAACATGTATCAGGCTTTGTTTTCTTGTGACACAAATCTCCACTCATGAAAGTACCACAGTTTACTGCTCATGTAGTTAAACTGTGAGCAGATGCTCTCATCATTGGCTCACATCAACAACAACAACAATGACAAAAAAGTGTGGCTACATCATTCTGCTCAGGAGATTCCCAGGGAAAGAGCAGTTATTATTGCTTCTAACAAAGAACTCAGTTCCGGCTTCAATTATATTTTCCCTTCACTTTTTAAATCTTTATTTAGTTGCTCCTATAAGAAATACCTTTTTGCAAAGCTAGCCGATATTTTCAAAATCCAAAAGGAAAGAAATGAAACACTTTAATGAAATACAGGGGGAAAATACATGAAACAATTTAAAATAGCTCCCACCAAATATAATTCTCCAGAAATAATTTCCATCCTTGGAGACTTGGATAATATTTTAAACACACTGGTTTTCCCACGTAAACACATCCATATTAGGCTGTGTTTCTGAGTTCTGCTATACTCGCAGGGCAACTGCAAGGAGCAGGCACAGTTCAGACATGTGAGCTGGGGGCCAGCCCACCCTCCATGGGTGTCAGATATTGGAGCCCAACAATTTTTAACTGCTGATTTGAAAAGCAGAGACCGCCACGATTCTCAAGTCAACGCGGGAACCCTGCTCCAGGATTTCTTTCTTTCTTCCTGTTTTTCTCACTGCTCTGTCTACCTAGACCAATATTCACATTCCTTTGCTCTTCTTATTCCATCCTCACTTACACTTTCTGACATTTCCCACCTCTTCTCGCAGAGCCTACATCGCTCAGCATGAATACTTCAACTCAGGTAATTGCTTTCTTTAGTTCCTTTTTCTCCGCATGCAAGCCTCAGAAGGTCCTCACTTGAATTACCTGTGATTCCCTTGTTTCTCTAGGCCTTTGGCCCTTTCTAGAGAAGCATGAACTTTGCAGAGGGCAGTATAAATGAAGGAATGGCAGAAGCAGAAAGGTAGGGGCTCAGGGTAAAAATCTGTCCGTCTGGCTGGCTCCCGTCCATTACGATCCTGCTGTGCTCACAGGCGCCCCCACCGATGGCAGCCTCTGCTTTTTTAGGCTTTGTTTACATATTCCCATCTCTACCTATCCTGAAACTAAATGAATCCCTCTTCCAACACACCCTGCTTCTCTAAGCAGTCAGCAGTGGACCCATATCCAATTTCAACATCACCACCAACTTTCATATTCCCACGTGTAGAAGCATGGGTCGATGTCCCTAACCAATTCTGAAAGCTCTCATAGTTTACAAGCAAACAATCATTTAGGCAAATGTAGTCTTCTCCGAATTGCACCAATAGAACAAATATAGTAACAATTATTATTAAATCCTGTCCCTGCTATATACAAAGAAATAAGTCCATGAATGTTCTCCTGGAAGGAAAAGAGGCCATTTAGGCTTTACATTGTCCAAAAAGTAAAGAAAACCAGAAAAGCTGGTTTTGTGGCTAAAGACGTATTTATTCCTGTTTCAAGAACAAATACACAGCCCTGAAAGTTTTTGGTCAAGAGTCAATCTGCACACAGAATGGCTAATCCAAGACCATTGTTCTTTCTAGATTATAAACCCCAGAAAGGTAGGCTTGGAATGTGTCTGAATGACCAGCCTCCCTCACTTCATGCACAGGTCAGGTGCCAGCACCTGGACGGTGTTTTGGCAAGTGTTGTGCACATGTGAGCCCGTGTGTGGTTCTTCACACGTCTCCATCAGTACCGGCTCCTCTGTGCTGGGCACTGTGCTAGCAGCTGGAGAGAACAAGACCATAAAGATGCTGCCTTCGAGAAATCTACACTGAGCAGAGAAAGAGAAGCATATCCATGTAAACAAGCCGCCAAGCAGTGCAGGTGCTAAGACAGCAGTCTGGGATGTTAGAAGGACATGGCAATTCTGAGCTGAGAGGGAGGAAGGTCAAGATGGCTCCACAGACATGGGGACACACACGAGCTAAGGCTTATGGATCAAGAGGGTGTCGGCCAGGAAGGCCAGGAGTGAGTGAGAGAGGAAGAGAAGGGAACAGGAAGAAACAGTGGTACCCGAGGTGGTTCCCATGGCTACCTTGGGTGTGAGGCGGGGGAGCAGAGAGAAAAGGGAGAGGCAGAGAGGAACCAGACCTTGGGGCTCATGCCATTCCAAAGAAGATCCGAGTTTCCTCCTGAAGGTGAGAGGTGGCAGTGAGGATTTTAAGCAGGAGAGCAAGATGATCGGGTTTGGGTTTGCTCTGAAAGCAGACGCTGTGAGATGGCATGTGTGGGTTACTCCTGGGCTCTCTCCATGCCCTGACACTGGCCAGAGGGCCAACTGAACAGGGCGTGCGCAGTTCCAGTCCAGCCTCCTCATCTCCTTCTCAAAGGCGTGCCTTCCCTCAGGCAGCAGGCCTCTGCTCTGCCCTTGCCTCCCCAGGCTTACCTGACCCCCTCCTCCCCGGGACCATGCTGGCCAGTGCTGCCGGCCACTCAGCAGGGGTCAGCCTCACGCTGGGGTTCAGTCACAACAGGCCCACTGACCCACAGAGACAGCCACTTCCTCCAACCTGGTCTTTTCAGTAATAAAGGTGATCTAGCTCTGTCTGTCACTTCTGGCTTTATTTTTCACTTTGTTCAGATCCTAGGTGGGGAAAGAGGACTCTCGGGAACCTAACATAAAATTGGACTGAAGAGATGTGAGACTGGAAATCAGGAGACCAGTTAGGAACTTATTAGAAGATGATGTATGCCCAGAAACACCAACAAGGAGCGCGTGCCGTGGAGGAAGCAGGCAGAGGCACAGGACCCCAGGAGCTCCATCCATCCTGACTGCATCCCGGACACACACTTCCCCTGCCACGAGCTGCTTCTCACAGACCACTGAACCGGGCAAGTGCAAACACTATTTCAGCCTCTGTCTCCCTCGGGCCCGAGGACAGAATGACAAGCACAGCTGCTGTCAGCAGTGGCCTGTGTGTCTTACCCATGTATGGGGCAGGCCAGGCCGACTGGCCCCCTCCTCCATAGGGGTCCTGGGGCTTGGTGCTCAGAGCACTCGTGTGAAGAGCAGAATCAGAATTGGTCCTAAGGAGGGGAGGAGAGAGTCTGGCTGAAAATCTGTTTTCCTTAAGTGAAAATGCAACAGTCTTTGTTGAATATTAACAATGGGAAAGAAGGCAAGAATAATTGACTTATAATCATCAAATAAGGGGTTAGGACCTACCTGAAGTTCTTTACATCAGTAACAGCCTCTGAGGATAGCCCACACGCCCGAACATTGTAATTTATATTCCTGTAGCCTTATATGCTGACGCTGACGGCTTGGTGACTAGTTCAACACGGATTCACAGCTTCCCTCCGAGATCTTCCTATTCTCCCCAGCTCAGAGGCTGGCTGCGGCAAGTTTAGCCTGTGGCTACACTAGGTTTCCTCCACCAGAGAGTAACTGTTTCTAAGTAAAGGAGCACTTAGAGCAGTGGTTTGCGATACCCTTCCAGGGAGAAGGCAAGGTCAAGGCTAGTCTCAAAATGATAGTAAAGCCTCCTCTGCCTTTTCACTCTTGCCCTCCCCCGAGCACAGTGGGCTCCGCAGTGGCCACGTGAGATGTGATGTCCCACTGCTGAGTGCAGGAGCAGAGAGCCCAGCTGCCCTGGAGACAGCTGTAAAAGGTGAGCATTACCACTATTCTCAATACGTTTTTTTGTGTTTCTTTTAAAAAATATCTAATTTGGGCCGGGCGCGGTGGCTCAAGCCTGTAATCCCAGCACTTGGGGAGGCCGAGGCGGGTGGATCACGATGTCAAGAGATCGAGACCAACCTGGTCAACATGGTGAAACCCCGTCTCTACTAAAAATACAAAAAATTAGCTGGGCATGGTGGCACGTGCCTGTAGTCCCAGCTACTCAGGAGGCTGAGGCAGGAGAATTGCCTGAACCCGGGAGGCGGAGGTTGTGGTGAGCCAAGATCGCGCCATTGCACTCCAGCCTGAGTAACAAGAGCAAAACTCCGTCTCAAAAAAAAAAAAAAATATCTAATTTATGTTAACATGTAATGGGCTTATTATTTTTTTAATTCACTAGTATCTTTTTAAAACTCTCAATTTCTAATATCAATAGATATACTCTCATAAACAAATACTATTTGAGGGCCTCAATGTTTTTTTTTTTTTTTTTTTTTTTTGAGACGGAGTTTCGCTCTTGTCGCCCAGGCTGAAGTGCAGTGGTGCTCACTGCAGCCTCTACCTCCTGGGTTCAAGTGATTTTCCTGTCTCAGCCTCTCAAGTAGCTGGGATTACAGACATGTGCCACCATACCTGGCTAATTTTCATATTTTTAGTAGAGATGGGGTCACCATGTTGGCCAGGCTGGTCTTGAACACCTGATCTCAGGTGATCTGCCCACCTCGGCCTCCCAAAGTGCTGGAATTACAGACATGAGCCACCATGGCAGGCCTCAGTGTTTTTTATTTTATTTGAGATGGAGTCTTTCTCTGTCACCCAGGCTGGAGTGCAGTGTCATGATCTCGGCTCACTGCAACCTCCACCTCCCGGGTTCAAGCAATTCTCCTACCTCAGCCTCCTAAGTAGCTAGGACTACAGGTGTGCACCACCACGCATGGCTATTTTTGTATTTTTAGTAGAGATGGGGTTTCAACATGTTGGCCAGGTTGGTCTCTAACTCCTGACCTCAGGTAATTCACCTGCCTGGGTCTCCCAAAGTGCTGGGATTACAGGCAAGAGCCACTGCACCCAGCCTCAGTGTTTTTTAAGACTGTAAAGTGGACCTAGGAGAAAACTTTGGGAGCCACTAATGTATAGCAAATTTCTGAAATTCTCCCAGCTAACTTAAGTGTCTACGAAGCCTTGGACGCAGGACATGATTATTTATTTATCTCATGAGGTCAAACTGTTGGCCATAAGGAGGACTGGTAAGCAATTTCATTAACCTACAATGCTTGGTGGTCCACTCCAGTGACAGCCTCGGTTGGCTTCAGAGGAGGAAAAGGCAGACAAGGGCAGAACCCGTAGTGCAACAGAAGGAGCATGGCCGCTGGGATCAGAGAGCTGGATTCAGATGCCAGCCTCTTTACAGATTCAAACAGACTCAAGAGAACATCCATCAAATGCGGAGCCAACTGGGAAAATCTAAATATAGACTGGACATTAAGTTATATTAAGGAGTTATTTTAAATTTTGTTAAGTATAAGAACACCATTGTGGTTGTTTTTAGAAAAGGTTCTCGTCGGCCTTACACTGCTGGAGATACATCCAGGTAAAATACTATATCTAGCCAGTCATGGGACTAGGGTGGGAGGTAGGTTTAGAGAGACTGGCAGAATGCTGATAACAAGTGAAGCTGAGGATGGGCACCACAGGCCTCTTATAACACCTCTGTTTGCGTGTATTTACAATTGTGCACCATTAATCAGGTTTCTTTTCGTTTTGGGGACAGCTTCTTTCTGTTGCCCAGGCTGGAGTACAATGGTGCGGCTTTAACCTTCTGGGCTCGGGTGATCCCCCCGCCTCAGCCTCCTGAGTAGCTGGAACCACAGGCATACTTTTTTTTTCCCCCCCAAAGAGACAGGGTCTCACCGTCTGGCCTAGGTTGGCCTCAAGCTCCTGGGCTCACGTGATCCTCTGGCCTCAGCCTCCCAAAGTGTTGGGACTACAGGTGTGAGCCACTGTGCCCAGATTTTTTTTTTAAATACTAGTCCACGTATTAGCTAAGGCCCTTAAACAAGTCACTTCACCTTTTAGAATGGAAAATAATACTCCTTCTTGTAGGGTGTTGTCAGGATTGAAAAAAATGACTGAGGAGCTTGGCCCAAAGTGATTACAACAATGGCTGATGTTTATTCAGCACGTATGTTTCCCAGAGTTATCTTATTCGACCCATGATCTAGGGACCATGGTCTCCATTCTTCAAATGAGTAAACTGAGGCAATCAGAAGTTAAGTACTCTGCTCAAGGTCACACAGTAAGACGCAACCCCTAGTAGTCCCACCCCAGACCTCGTGTGCTCTGTACTGTCCCCTGCAGACACTTAGTAAGTGGTGGGTTTTGTTTTTAACACATCATATCAACATGGCTTACATAAACACATTCTGGCAACTGGATGCTACGTAAAAAAATATCAGGACGGTTAAATTGCTTTAAAATCTCCTTCTACCAGAAAACAACCCATGTACCTGTTAAGTGCAGATGTCAGCCTGAACCCAGGATGCTTTTCTTCTTTCCAAGGAGGCTGCTGCCTTTAAAAACCAGAACATCATAAAAGGAAAAGAAGTCAATCCACAGAGAGCAAAGGAGGTCCTCAGCCCTGCATCTCAGAACTGGCTCTGCAACCTGAGAGTCACTTAAAAATAACCCATGCCTCACTCATTTTGCCCATCATTGTTAAAATGAGGTAAGACTGAATGATCCCTCCAGTGCTGTAATCTCCAATTTCCAGTACAAAAAGTACTAAAAACCCGTAAGGAATAGGAGTAGCTAGTTGGGCAGATGAGTTCAGTGTACACGTAGGGGGCACCTTGGCAATCTTGGATGCAAGAATTTTGCATTCCCGTGCCAATGGCCATGAAGAGGAAAATAACTGTTACAGTTACCCAGGGTATGAAAATATTAGTTTAACCAATCCTGGTGCTCTGAAAATCCGAAGACATTTCTTGGATACACAAAAGAAAAATATCGGTTTGGAGATGCCTTTTACTGATGTAATAAAAGACTGTATTTATTTTACAACCCTGGATCCCAAGATTCTTGGGGGTGGCTGAAAATCTACTTGAGATGGGGCCCACTGACATCCGTCTTTATTTCCTTTCCCAAGTCCAGACACATCATACACAGTAAGTGCTCAGTCAGTATCTGCTCAGAGAATGGAGGGAGAGCAGACTTCAATCCAGAGAGCTAAATATTTTTGATACACATATTTTAAATGCCTCCTGAATCTGATTTGGTGATCTGAAAAATGATACGACGCACACAACAGATGCAAGTTTTTTTCTCAATTAATTCTATTTTCTGTTACCCTCTGTATTGGGTACAAAAATACTCAAGGAGACCTTAAAGCAAATACACTGTGCAAATTACCATTTTAAGAGTCTTTTGTCCTTTTCAGCAGCTTACTAAGACACTCGGAGAAAAGATGCTGATTTTTCTGTCTCAAATTTAAGAATGCCATATCAGAGTATTCTGTTGGTAAATATATTCCAAATGTGTTTCTATTTGGTTTTAAATATGAAGATCTAGGTTTCTTTAAATAACTTTTCATTTTAGACTTTCATATAAGCCTATCACTGGAAACGCAACGCTTAGGTGTTTTTTTGTTTTCTTTGTTTTTCTGAGATGGAGTCTTGCTCTGTCACCAGGCTGGAGTACAGTGGGACGATCTCGGCTCACTGCAACCTCTGACTCCCTGGGTCAGGCAACTCTCCTGCCTCAGCCTCCTGAGTAGCTGGGATTACAGACACGCACCACTACGCCCAGCTACTTTTTGCATTTTTAGTAGAGACAGGGTTTCATCATGTTAGCCAGGATGGTCTCGATCTCCTGACCTCGTGATCCACCCACTACAGCCTCCCAAAGTGCTGGGGTTACAGGCGTGAGCCACTGCGCCGGTGTTTTTTTTTTGTTTGTTTGTTTTTTTAAGAGATGCCGTCTTGCTATGTTGCCCAGGCTGGAGTGTAGTAGCTAGTCACAGCTCCATCATAGCACACTACAGCCTCAAAACTCCTGATCTCCAATGATCCTCCTGCTGAAATTAAATTTTATAAGAGAAAACAGGATTCTATGCTTTATATTAGAAATTTCTAAAACAACATTCAACGTGGATCAAGTTAAGCAAAATTATCTAAAAATAACACACATCCATCATAACTTTTAAAGTATGTCTTGCTTACCTTGGCCAACTCTCATCCAGAGGCTGTGAGGAGTAATTAGCTCCAAAAGCACTACCCTCAAAGTAGAATTTTTAATAAAGGAAAAGTAAAAATTAGTGGAAAGTTGAAGCAGAATGAACAAGGTGAACTCAGAGTTAATTAGCTGAGTTTTTGGCTCTTATCTTTATCCCTGTACCTGACAGCTCTTCCTTCACGCCCTCTCTCATCCCCCTCCTCGACGACAGTCTATTCCGCTGTCTTCCACCCAGTGTTTTCTTTGCATGGTGTTTTGTGGGGTGTTTATTATTTTTTGCCTGTCTGGCACCTCTGTTTTCAGGAACTATTGCCACTCTCGCTCCAAACCTGCTAAGGTTGCTATTCCCTCTGGGCCACATGGGAGGGACCCAGGCCCAGGATTCTAGCCCAGGTACTTCACCCTCTGGAAACAGCGTTTGGCTCAGGGATAGGCACAAACAGAACCAAGAAGGGTGCTTTTGAGGGAAAAACAGGAGTGCCCCAGTAGAGGTGGTGTGAGCCCAAGGGTGTCTGAATCTGGGGGTTTTGCCACGGAGAAAGGCTGTCTATTACACGTGAAGTCATCCCAGAGGTGGCACCACAGAGGTCTCAATGATATTGTATGACACCTTGGATCTAGCCCTTGGGCTTCTAGCGACTTAAGCCCGTACATTTTCTCTTTTTAAGTTAAGGTGGGTTCTTGGTATTTACAGCCAAAAAAGAGGCGCATTAGATGTGTGGTCACTGTCTTATCAATCTTGGGTTGTTCACTGGGTCTGACGCACCTTGGAGCATATTCTGGGCACCTGGAGACACAACAGGGGTGCGGCACACACACTGAGTAGAGAGGCACTGTTTTCATTCATTCAGTTAACTGTTCCCACACACAGCCTTCTGAAGACATTGTTAATCACTTTATTGGGCTAAGAAATCTTCATTTTGCTCAGCCTAAAAGGCAAAACTTATTGTGGTGCTCCACAATTTGGGGCCAGTGGCCTCTTCTGCTCTTATCGTCCCTGCAGCTGTCTGGGTTCCACAAACACAGCCTAGATTTTCCTGCCCCTCTGCCTTTGCTAACGCCACTTTCCCTTTCTCTCCTCCTATGTGGAACTACCTCCTTATCACTTCCCCAAACCAAACCCATTCCTTTTGTCTCCTGGATCACTGATTGGATGAAATATACGTTCGGCAGTTACCAATAACACTTTTCACCCCCAAACCTTTATTTCTTAAGGTGGAAATATACAAGCTATATGACACATCAAGACAGAAATTTGAAAACAGATATCTAAGCACCTACTGTGTGCCAGGCCTGTACTGAGTTCACACTTTCATTTAATCTTAACAACCTTAAAGGCAGATATTTTCCCCATTCCTTAAAATCTGAAGAGACTGAGGCTCCGTTCTAGAAGAGCTGAGAAATCTAAGATCAGATAGCTGGCCTGGTGGATCGGGGTCAGACCCACAACTCACTGATGCCAAAGCCTGAGAGCTCTCTGCTAAGCTATGCGGCCTCTCAGGAAAAGGTGAACTGTACCACATGCCCCAGAAAATAGAAAACAGTACCTGGAGTGTTCTGGGAAGAAGGATGGAGGAGGGTATAAGAGAAGATATCATCTGCTGGGCTCAGGAGGAGACAGGAGCTTTGATGGAGGAGTGGGGCCCTATCCTGTAGGCCTGGGCTGGGCAGCTCAAGTAAATACACAATCTGGAATTAGGAAAATGGAGGCTCTCAGGAGTTCTTAATGATTTAGTGGGAAATGTCTTCTTTGCCAGGAGAAGCATTAGAATTGCAAGTTTCATCTTCTATGTATTAGTTTTTTTTGACATGTCTCATTATCTTATTTCTTAATTTGATCCTGAATCAATAAAATAAAACAGGTAATTTCCCAAGGAGATGTTTCTTCAATGTTCACTATTACGCTTAATGTACATGAAGTACAGATGAGACGGGACCACAGCAGGAGGCAGGAGAGGAAAAGGTGGTGAAGAGGAAGGCCCGGGAGAGACAGACTATCTGTATCTCTGTTGGCAAAGCCGTTAGGGAGGAAACACTGAGACTTGAGACCTACGTTATCTGCCTTTCTCTTTTCTGCAGATTTGATTAATATCTGTTCAGAAATGCTTAATTTCAGGAAGTAGAAGTTAACTCTTTTTCTCAGTACACTGCCATCTTTAAAGTCAATACGTCCGATTTCATAGTACTAATAATACAAATTAGAATGCAGTGGTGTATTAGTCACGTAACGATCAAATGTTTGTGATTTCAATGTTGAGTGTAAGTTAGCATTTTAACCTTCCTGATAGTAACACCACAAAAAGACAGTAAATTCCTAGAAATTTTTAATATAATTAGGCTGAGGCATCAAAAGGTAAAAGATGTGACCTCTGAGCTCTTTTAATTTTTAGTCTCATTTAATTTAGTGGATATTTGAAAACTCGAGGGAAGCACTCATGTTATAAGCTTAGAGTTAAACTTAATGTGAGGAAAACCTAGACAAAGTTTATTAGTTCTTTGGAAAATTTCAGAAAACTTCATTCAGGTGGCTTTAAATACTCCGCAACACTGACATGCCCTAAATAACAACCTCAAGACAGAGAAAACACTCTTATTTATAAACTTGAATTTACCATTTATTCAAGAAACATTGCTGGCGTGCCTGCCAGGTGCCGGCATGCCAGCAGAAGGGACGCACAGGCTACGGGGTTTTTAACAACCTCACTAGCTCCTCTTCCACTGCTTCCTTAGTTAAGCTTAGTGAAGTCTTCTGCTCAATTTCCACATTAAAAAAGGAAAGTGGGGAGGAGGGATAATGAAAGAGATAAACAAAGAGGAGGTGGCTGCAATGGATGGAAACAAAAGTTAAAGTTAAAAAAAAAACCCCACACTCGCATGGATCTTTTCTTATCCCTCTGTGCACTCCTCTCCCTCCCGTGCCTTCTGGCCCAGTGTCCCCTGGGGTCCCGTGGCCTCCCAGGCCACGCCTGCTTGCATTGCTCTGGGAGGCACAGGATGTTTTCAGGATCACTGGGTACCAGGAAGAGTGGGAGCAGATGGGGGGGGTGGCTGGAGCCTCTGGGCACAAGTGCTTGGGAGGCGCTTCCTAAGAGCTTCAGAGCCAGTGCCTGTCTTCCTGGTGGAGAGCCCTGTCCTCCATGTTTGCCTTGGCCAATCCCATCCTTCCCTGGCCCCAGCTGTCACCTACAGTCCAGTAACTCTTAAATCCACACCTGCAGTTGCCAACAGTTCTTGGGAACTCCACGTGCATATTTCCAACTGGCTACTCAAGTCCTCCGCCAAAAGTACCCAAGACAGCTCAAATTCTACTGAAATCCAACCAATTACTGTCCCTTTCATCTGTTGTTCTTCTTATGGTCCATCTTATTTAGTGAGGGCACCATCCACCAAGACAGTCAGGTTAGGGCAGTCGTTCCAGTCTTTCCCTCTGCCCAAGCCTCTGCAGTTCTGTGTAGGAAAACCTTCCTGCTCGAGTTACTGCCTCAACCCATCAACACAGGGACTCCTGTTCCTCTCAACCTGGGGAGGGAACAGTTCTTACTCACTCTTCCCCAAAGGAAGGGGAGCAGCTCTTCTGCTGATAAGAGAGGACATCAGCTGGCCCGTTTACCAGTGGGTGGGGATACCGAGCTACAGAAGCTGAAAATAAGACCTGCCCTGCCCCTTTCTCTGTGCGGCTTGACCTGCGGCTGGGTGAGCAGGCGCAGGGTTCCCTTCTCTTGGCTTCCTATCTCTATGTGGGTCAGTGCACCTCGGCAGGGCTCAGGAACAGCCTTGTGGCGGCAGCCTGGAAGCCAGGCATTTTCTCTCCTGCTCTAAAACTCTGTGTTCTGCCAGGGACACAGTTTGTGGGGTGGGCCTGTGACCCTCCATGCAGCTGGTGGGGTAGGTGGACTTGGGAGTCTGCTTAATAGAACCCACCCACCAGGACAAGTTTCAGTTTTAGATTTAATACAGAAAACTAGCCACAATTTGGCTCCATCCTGATTTCTCAGCTATGTGTTTACTGTCATTCTACTTCCTTTTGTCCCTTTACCTCCAACTATGTCCCACTAGAATACATCTTAAAGTCAAACTGTAAGGGTCGCATATAAGTGGTATCTTTTTGAGTCCTTGCATTTATAAAAACATCCTATTTCCCTCAGCACAGGAGAGGCAAATAGGCTGCATGTGGTATTGTGAAGTCAGAATATTTCCCCCTTAACATTCTAAAGACCAGTGTTTCCTTGTCCTTCAAGAGGTGACGGGTGTTAGGTAAAAGTTGGATTTTGTGATGACATAAGTTTTGGAAACCCTGGGGTAAAGAGAAGTTGTTTCTTAACTGCAGGACTTTTCAGAGCCCTAATATATACGGTCAGGCTCCAAGAGGAGATAGCAGAGTATGGTGTTTCTCAAATGTAATAGGCCATGTATTTCAAAGCAACAGTGTCCTATAAACCAGTGTCCTAACATTTTCATCTCATTATGATGAAAAGAACCAAAGCAAGGCCCAGCCCAGAGAGGAGAATCATTCCTAACTCTGTGGTTCTTAGGCCTCTTTTCATGAGCCTTCAGGCTAGTGAGCCCTCTACTTCCTTTAAAGGAAGGCATTTTCTACGCTTCTTCAGCATGTCTCTTCTTTCTCAGTGTGTTACCCACAAGTCTGAGAAAATATTTTATTTGCTATAAATGTATGTGACTAGTTCAGAAGTTCAGCAATGGTGTTTAGGACCTGGCATGTCTGCCACCCTTGAGGAGTGGGAGTGAGAGGGCCGCTACAGACTGCACAGCTGCAGAAGGGCAGGAGAGCGTCTATTCCAAGTGCTCCAGCCCAGGCCCCCAGCCAGGAGCAAGCCCTGACAGTGCCTCTCCTCTGCCTGCATGGGTCTAGGGCAGGGCCCAGCTGCAGCTGCGCCTTGGTCTTCTGTGCTGCCCGTGCCAAGGGCAAAGCCCACTCCAGAAGGAATCTCCTGTCCAGAGCTCTGCACTCTGTGGCTGCCCACTCTGAGAGGAAGTCAGAATATTCGTTAAACAATGTTCATTTTCTTTGAGATCACCCAATTGTAGGAGTGAACCCTCAGAGCCCTTGTCTAAGCCAGTGTGCCCTCCTTAAATAATACCCAAGCCAAGAAGCAGCTGTAAGAAGGGAATTCTGATTACATTTTTTTCCTTTTGTTCTAACAAAGATTCAAACCAGTCTTTTATACTTCCAAATGACGAAACTTCATTAAAAAATAGATAAATGTGCAAGGCCACAATTTTAAGCAAATTATTTCACAACCCACAGAATGGAGGCCATGAAAACAAAGATGGAATCACAGCCCCTCAGCCCCTCCAAGCCCCTGAGCTGCCTCCCTGCAGATGCCATCCTCCTCCAAGGTCTCCCTTTTCATGGACCCTTGGTTCCTCACGACAATGGGCAAAAGAACTTTCTTTGCATCACAGATGTCCAGTCCCAGGACCCCAGTTTAGGGGCTTAGGAGACCACAAAGACATGGCTCATGATCAGTGACTCTGACTCATACTGTCTAATGACTTTAATTTCTCTGCATTTTCCCTTGGTTTTTGCTTCTCCTTCCTTTAGGAGTTGACTAGCTTTGCTAATACTCACCAGTTGATCCCTACAGTGCCAGATTAGACCCTGTCCTAAGAGACAGGGTCCCCGAACAAAGGAAGTTGCCTTCCTTTCTGGAACTTTGCACCACAATCTCCTCCCTCTGCCTCAAACATACGCTCCCAACCGCTTTACCCTCTCAAATCTCACTCACCACCATCTAAAGCCATTTTCCTTTATTAGTTTTTGCCTGTTTGCCATCATCTCCCACAGGACTGTAAACTCAAGAAAGCAGGAACTATGTCTCCCGTCACTGGGCTTACAACAGGGCCTGGCACAGAGAAGGGGCTCTGTAAACATCTAATGAATGAACGCTTTCTCCTCTTGCTTCTTATCCCTCAAGCCTCAGATTTCCCCCAGGATGACTTGGTTTCCCCAGAATGGTTCAAGCTGCACCTCAGACGTGCTCCCACAGCCCCCGAGCTGCCTCCCTGCAGACGCCAGACCTGCCGTGGCTGCTTGTTTGCTGAGCAGCCTCTCCCACTAAACTCTGGGCAACCTGAGGGCAGGGACCATGCTATGTTTACTGTGACAGTGAGCTAAATGTCTAAAATGATGTCTGCCCACTAGCACAAACTTAACAAATAGTTTTTGTAACTGAATAAACATGCTCTTCCTTTCTCTTTTCTCAATTCCCTCCTCTTCTATTCCTTTGGTTAATAAAGCTATGTGTATGCTTACACGTTTAGACTGTATTTGCTTCAAACGTATCTGAGATAGCCACATATACATCTACACACATACATATGCATGGCATGATGTTTAATATACTCTACAGAAATGAGAGCACCATCAGGAGAAAGAGGGAACTGAGAGCTGAAAAAACATACATTGTTAAATCACGCAAAGAAGCACTCAGAGTCTTCTGCTTGAACATTCTAGGCAGTTTGGACCAGTTTGATGTACTGCTCCATCCTGACATGTGCAAATTTGCTGATGAATTGCCTCCATTTCCTTTTGCCTTTTTCATTCAGTGTCAAAGTTATCACACATTCCAGAATAGAATTCTCCAGATTATTTACCATCTTTACTTTCCTTGATAACAGCCACATAATACACAAAATCAGAAGTCGGTCCTTCTGCGGGCCAAATGTGGTGTGTCCCTGGGGGCGGGAGGAAGGGGAGAGACAAACATTCTCTGAGGACATTATCCTTGCCTCCAAATAGATTAGAAACTGTGGCTGGGCACCTGGCTCACACCTATAATCCCAGCGCTTTGGGAGGCTGAGGTGGGCACATCACGAGGTCAGGAGATCGAGACCATTCTGGCTAACACAGTGAAACCCCGTCTCTACTGAAAATACAAACAAAAAAAAATTAGCTGGGTGTGGTGGCACGTGCCTATAGTCCCAGCTACTGGGGAGGCTGAGGCAGGAGAACTGCTTGAACCCAGGAGGTAGAGGTTGCAGTGAGCCGAGATCACGCCACTGCACTCTAGCCTGAGTGACAGAGTGAGACTCCATCTCAAAAACAAAAACAAAACCCAAACAAACAAACAAACAAACCTACAGCAAGCCTGAAGGCAAGAGAAGCTGGGGTTTCCCTAGGGTGCCTCACAACTCCTGTCTCCCTTGCACAAGGTCCTCATCTCTGCTAGTGGGCACAGGTGGCGTGGTGAGGGTGGAGTACAGGCTGGGCCATCGGCTGGGCCTGAACTGCATCGCGGGCAGGTTAGTTCACCACATGCTCAGTTTCCTCATCAGAAAAGGAGGGTCAGAAAAATACATGACCCAGTGAGTTTCTGAGGTCTAAATGGCACATAAATTGCCCGGCACAGTGCCTGGCACGGGTAGGTGCTCAGTAAACATGAGTGCCCTGCCCCCACTTCCTGGTTTCTGGGCTTGTGAAGCCAACTCTACCATCACTGCCAGGAATTCAGCTCTCCACAGTGGGGCCCACCCTGCCTTCCTTCGCCCTCCTCCTCCCCTGAGCCCGAGTTCTAAGAAGGATGAAGTGAGAGTACCGGCCCTCCTGGCACACTTCTGTGTCCCCTCCTGAAAAACCCAGCTCAGACTGTTCCCCACACAGCAGCGACCGCCACTGCCGCCTGTAAGCAGCACTGATGAAATAAAATACTGTCAGGTGAATTCACCATTTCCTTTCCTTGATTTCTATGTAACTGCGTAGAGTTTGGTGTGACTGTGCATTGCTGCATGAGATTTTCCTATATTCTAGGTTTATTTTAGTTATCACTGAGTTTGAAGCATCACAAATAGAAAATTATATGAAATTTTTTAAGTTCCAAAAGCAGGTCAGCAGACCAAAAGAAATACAAATAAATCACATACCTGTATGTCCATTTTTGCTAGATAGACTAAGTCTCTGTAACCTGATTCAAAGTCAGGTTTAACTCTAACTTGGCTGAATTACACGTGGTTTTTGTTGTTATTTCATGAATCTGAACTTTACTGATGCTGTCATAAACACCTACAATGTTTCCAAATTTTGACTGCAGAGATGTTTCTAGTTTCCAATTCATTTATTTGTATTACCTCCCTTCATCAGATAAAGATTTTGAAGCCAAAGGAGAATTGCAGGGAAGATAAATCCTGACAACTTTTCAAACATTTCAGAACACACACTCCCCCTGAAGAGTAAAAAAGGATATTTGTCGCCCTGGCTTGTCCCCAGACCTTCGGTGGAGGGGGTGGAAGCGGTTCCTGCACGGCCTCTCCACCAGCCCGTGGTGGCGGGTTCCCCGAACATTGTCAGCTTGGTGGAATGACGGCTGCAAAGAGAAGGGAAGAAGAGTTGGCCTCCAACCACGAAATCATCACTCACGCTCATGAACAGCTGATAACAACAGCAGGCGAAAGGACTGATTTTACAGTTTTCCTTATTATGCATTAGACGGCCTTGGGTCAAGGTAAATAAAATAAAGTAGTATATGGAACTGTTTTTATATAATAACCATAAAATACTGAAAAATTGTCTGTAATGTGTTAAGAGGAAAACTAAAAGAATGACATAATAAAAGTTGTCACGCAAATGGGGAAGAAGAATCGGGAGACTGAGAATTCATATACCAAATCCCAGAAACTAGAAAGGACACTTTGAAATGTAAAAGAGGCATATTTAAGAAAGAAAGAAACTGGCAAGCCATGAGGCAGCTATTTGTACTACACTGTGCCTTTTCAAATTTTTGAGTGAATTCACAATGTTTGAAAATTTAGACTTGAGCATTCTAGCGAAAAATCAGAATTTTTTTTTTTTTTTTTGAGACAGCGTCTTGCTCTGTTGCCCAGGCTGGAGTGCAGTGGCGCGATCTCGGCTCACTGCAACCTCCACCTCCTGGGTTCAAGCGATTCTCTCGCCTCAGCCTCCCAGGTAGCTGGGATTACAGATGTGCGCCAGCATGCCCAGCTCATTTTTGTATTTTTAGCAGAGACAGGGTTTCACCATGTTGGCCACGCTGGTCTCGAACTCCTGACCTCAAGTGATCCGCCCACCTTGGCCTCCCAAAGTGCTGGGATTACAGGCATGAGCTACTGCGTCCAGCCATAAGTCAAAATATTTTGGCCACACTGAACCACACTCATCTCAGGCTGAAGTTGAGCGTGGCTGCTCCCTGTAGATGGGACACCCACTCTCTTATTTTTAAACCTAACACGCAAACCATTTCACTGACTCATCATTTGAGACATTCAGAGTGTGTAACCCCTGAGTTAAAGAGAAAAAAAGGAATGCTATCTAAATACAAGCGGAAAACAAACATACAGATCATCAGTCCCTAAATGGTACAAATGAAAAAGGAGAAACAGATTCAAGATAAATTCATGGTCAATAAATCCAAAATCCTTTTTAAGGAGATGCTTGCGGTATGCGCTTAACATTTTTGAGACTGGCATCACAAAGGGCAATCTTTTTGACTGTCAAAGGCCAAATCCGAGGCTGGGCCCATAAATCTCACATAATAGGGCAATGTGTATACATTATGCAATAGATGTGCTTGTGAAATACAGCAAACAGCTTTCCTTCTCCCATGCCCTCCAGCATTAAGATATAACTGACAAATAAAAATTGTGTATATTTACACTGCACAACATGACGTTTTGATATATGTATCCATAGCAAAATGATGAAATCAAGGTAATTAACATATCCGTCAACTCACATACTAACCATTTAAAACAGAGTTTCTTTTACGTCAACTGAATCGCATGTAAAATAGGTAGTTTACTGTGAAAGGAATCCTATGACACATGTACGTATGTTTTTACAGGGGACTTCCTGCAGCTAAAAACTACGTTTTCTTTGTTAAACATGGATTTTCTCATTTTGGATTTCAGAATTACTCCCATTTCTCCCAAGTGAACTCATAAAAAATCTGGACTAATTTGATCTAACAGTTCCAGTCTATTTTTATAATCCAAATCTATAAACTCACAAAATAAAGTTATCTAAGCAAAGAATAACTTCTGGGCTGGAAGAAAAATAGCCAGTATGAGATAGGGAAGCTGCATTTGATCTTACACAATGGAACATCTATTCTAGAGACGAATACATTGAAATACCTATAAAATAACGGGACAAACTTACAGCAGGTGCTTCTTGGTAAGATGCAATGAGAAGGACACAGGATAGGGTCTCATTCTGTCACCCAGGCTGGAGTGCAGTGGCACAATCATGACTGACTGCAACTTCCACTTCCCAGGCTCAGCCTCCTGAGCAGCTGAGATTACAGGTGCATGCCAACATGCCCAGGTAAATTTTTTCTTTTTTTTTTTTTGGAGAGACAAGCTCTCACCATGTTGGCCAGGCTGGTCTCAAACTCCTGACCTCAACTGATCCACCCACATTGGCCTCCCAAAATGCTAGGATTACAGGCCAAACTGGGGTCCTGGAGGCCAGTTCACAGGGTTGGGAGAAGGATCTTTAGAAGGGGTTCTAAAAAGCAGAGAGTTCCTGAAATGCCTTTTAGACTTCCTGTTAAGCTTGTATTTTCTGGCTGGGTGGAATGGCTCCTGTCTACAGTCCCAGCACTTTGGGAGGCAGAGGTGGGAGAAAAGTTTGGGGCCAGGAGTTTGCGACCAGCCTGGGAAACATAGTGAGACCTCATCTCTACAAAAAAATATGAAAATGAGCTCTACAAACAAACAAATTAGCTAGGCATGGTGGTGAATGCCTGCAGTCTCAGTACTTCGGGAGCATGAGGTGGAGGATCACTTGAGGCCAGGAGTTCAAGACCAGCCTGGGCAACATTGCAAGCCCTCATTTCTACAAAAAAATAAAAACAAAAAAAAAATTAGCGGGGTGTGGTGGTGCCCACCTGTAGTCCTAGCTACTGGGGAGGCTGAGGCGGGAAGATTACTTGAACCCAGGTATTCGAGGCTGCAGTGCGCTATGATCACCACACTGCACTCCAGCCTGGGCAACAGAGCAAGATCTTCTCTCTAAAACAAACAAAACAAAAACAAACAAAATAAAAGCTTTTATTTTCGATTTAACGGCTGGCTCTTTTGCATTAACCACTGCTGGCCCAAATCCTGTATAACTGCTGGTATTCAGTTGTGGGGTGGGTGATCTCTGCTTTTGATATTTTCTTCTCTTCCTTACTGTGGCCCAATCTCAACTCTCTGCCCCTGCAGTATCTGATCTTTCTCCAAACTATATTTGGCTTTAGACTTCTCAATTACTTCTTAAAGACCTGCCTTGCTCATCAAATGAATTAGAGTAGCTGTTCAGTCAGGGAAGCCAGAAACTAAAGGCAGTTTAAGAATGAAGTCTGGAGCCGGGCGCGGTGGCTCATGCCTGTAATCCCAGCACTTTGGGAGGCCGAGGCGGGTGGATCACGAGGTCAAGAGATCGAGACCATCCTGGTCAACATGGGGAAACCCCACCTCTACTAAAAATACAAAAATTAGCCAGACTTGGTGGCACTAGAATCACTTGAATCCAGGAGGCAGAGGCTGCAGTGAGCCGAAATCGTGCCACTGTACTCCAGGCTGGGTGACAAAGAAATACTAACGTGCCACTCCAAACTTCACTTTTTCTACTCCTCTTCAAGTTTTAACCATGTAAGTTCTTACATAGTTGTACCTGCAGAGTACATACGGTATTTATTTATTTTTTGAGATGGAGTCTCTCTCTGTCACCCAGGATGGAGTGCAGTGGCGCGATCTTGGCTCATTGCAACCTCCGACTCCTGGGTTCAATCGAGACTCCTGCCTCAGCCTCCTGAGTAGCTGGGATTACAGGCACGTGCCACCATGCCCGGCTAATTTTTGTATTTTTAGTAGAGACAGGGTTTTGCCATGTTGGCCACACTGGTCTTGAACTTCTGACCTCAAGTAATCCACCTGCCTCAGCCAAAGTATTGGGATTACAGGCATGAGCAACCATGCCCAGCCAGTATTTTAAACATGCAGGTTCCCATTTACGGTCCTTCCCTCCCTCCCTCCCTTGCCCTTCTCCCCGCCTCACCCTTCTCTCCCTCTCTCCCTCCCTTCCTCCCCTCTCTCTCTCTCCTCTGCTCTCTCTCTCTCTCTTTCTGACAGGGTCTCCCCTCTGTTGCTCAGGCTGCAATGCAGTGGCAGGATCTCAGCCGTCCCAGGCTCAAGTGATCCTCCTGCTTCAGGGTCTCAAGTACCTGGGACTGCAACTGTGAGCCAACACACCTGACAAAGTTTTGCATTTTTTTGTAAAGACGGGATTTCGCCATGTTGCCCAGTCTGGTTCAAACTTCTGAGCTCAAATGATCCACCTACCTTGGCCTCCCAAAGTGCTGAGATTACAGGCATGAGCCACTGTGCCCAGCTCCTGTTTGCAAGTTCTTCTGACTTATACCTCCCTTGTTCTTCAAGAAAAACGGGGCTAGGAACAGTGGCTCACGCCTGTAATCCCAGCATTTTGGGAGGCCGAGGCAAGCGGATCACTTGAGGCCAGGAGATCAAGACCACCGTGGCCAACATGGTGAAACTCCATCTCTACTAAAAATACAAAAATACAAAAGAAAAAAAAAGTTAGCCAGGCGTGGTTGCACAGGCCTGTAATCCCAGCTACTCATGAGGCTGAGGCAGGAGAGTTGCTAGAACCCGGGAGGTAGAGATTACAGTGAGCTGAGATCGCGCCAGGCTCTGAAAAGCACTCTCCTGTTTCAGAACATGGGACCTAGACACGAAACTGAGGAAGAGTGGGATTCTGTGCCTCCATATCTAAACGCTTTTCCACATTAATGTCTGGGATCCAGTGCTAGATAGACCAGAGAGGGAGTGACATGGCTAGTGCTGACAGCAGAACTCTTTCTGAAATGAAACAGGACATGTGAATCTTCCAAAAGAAGCAGAGTTGTGGATTTCCAGGTAGAAGTTAGAGCTAATGGCAGGCAGTACCATACTCCCGGAGTTCTCCCCCAAGGGACCTAGAGCTCAGTTCGATGAGATCTCAATTACGTGTAGGTGCACACCTACATATCACATAGCATCTGAAAGCTGCACCCAATGATGAATGGCTGAAAAGTTGCAACTGGATTTCCTCACCTAGGGGGAACATTACCTCCTCTAATTTAGACATTATTGATCTATAAACGTGACCTACGTTGGCATTAACTCTCCGGGTAGATGTACCACACTGTTGGCATTTCACTGCATTTGTGGTTCATCAGAAACCCCACATCTTACTTACTTGACCGGTAAACCATAAGCAGATTCCCACATAAGCCCATGCTTAGCTAGGAAATAAGCTGAAGGCCAAGAATCGGAGAGTTGCGGTTTATTATCAACTCAGGAA